AATCCATATGTTTAAATCATCCCAAATTATATATGTGATGCATATATAAGTCATCTATATGTTAAGACCAAAATGCACCAAATCCATAAAGTTAATATACACATAAGTAAATATAAACTTTGGGAATCGACCCAATAATATGTATATTTCAATCAGAGGTGTGTAAAAGACTTAAAGAAGTATTTTGGACACTCAAAATTTTAAGAGAAAGTTTCGCAGACCCAAACGGTCGAAGCAAACGGTCGACCGTCGTATTAAACATCAAAACGGACTACTACTGTCGATAGAACGGTCGTCCGCCGTAGCCAAACGGTCGACCGCCGAAGCTCAGCCAAACGCAGCCACACTGAAGCAGTCAACAACGGTCGACTGCCGGTCAACCACGGTCGATCGTCACAGTGATCCGTCAAATCCGACCTGATGAAGATCAAGGTCGACCGTCCCGTCAAATGGTCAACCGTTCCGAGCCCCGTAGCTTAATTAAATGATATTTTTATCAGATTTCACCCAAATAAAATAAAGTATATTTATCCATTCATATTATTTACAAATTGTTCATATCATATGACTCATCATCACACATATTGTTGCATATCATATCATATGCATGCGTAAGAGATCATGCGTAATTGCGTTTCTTATAGCGTGGTTGTGCGGGACTTAGTAGTCCGACAACCCTGACTGGGCTTAGTGTACGTACATGGTATTCAAACTTTCGAGTACCACCCCTATTTTTCTAGTCTCCCTCGTGATACTAAGAAGGACATGAGTTCGTCGTACCAAATGGGCAAATCACATAGTTGCAAGGTCATTCCTTGTTGACTTAGAATCATACAGCATGAAGTCATCATCAAGTAAAATCATCATGACTATGTGTAACATCAATTACGCATAATGTAATCCTCATCAAGAACAATTATATTGATTACATAGGTGTCATGTAATCATCATCAAGAACAATCAAATTGATTAAATTAAATGTGCCATAATCATGCAATTATCATTAAATATTTATCATCATGATTCATCAAATTGACCATATGATATAAAGTGTCATATCAGGAATATTGTTATACATTTTTGTGGACATATATATACGTATATGTCTATGAATTATTCTACATTTCTAGCGTAGTACCACTCAGCGGTTTTGCTGAGCGTGTAGTTTGTATTTTTCGTTGACTACACGTAGGTAACAAGAAGACAATGATGGAACCTTTTCCGGAGGGCATTGAGTCAGAGGAGATGCAAGGATGGCAGGCAATGTTTGGTCAACAGATTTTAAAATATGTCATGATTTGATTATTATTGTACTTCCGCATTACTCTGAAAATATTTTTAAATGGGTCGCGATCCAGAGTCTGTAAATTTAATATTTTAAAGTAATTGTCATATTCAAATGTCAAGTGAAATTTTTATTTAACTCTCGTTTCACCTTAATTCGTGTAATTTCGGGTTATACGGATTGGGGTGTTACACAGATACCTAGTAATTTCCATATAAATGTTTTTCCAGTTCAACCGTAACCATACACAAAAAAGAATCAGGTAGTATTTGAGTAGATTGTTTATAATATCATATACGTATAATTAGTTAATACACAAAGACATTTGTCGTATGATTACCTTCATAGAAATTAATAGCACATGTTATTGAATATAGATCAATTCTCTTCTATCTATTATGCACTTAAAAGCGTGATGAACTGGGTGTACAATTATTCCCAGATTGATTTATATTTTTTTTAGGAAAAATGTAATGGAAATATTTAATTTTTAATTTGAAATAAAGAATTACCATTTGTCACATCACAGAGTATATTCTTTCTCAAACGGGTTCAATTATGCGAGGTTATAACCAATGACGATGTCTCTCCATCTCTATATGTAATTTATATCATAAAAAAAAGTGTACCAATATATATTTTATGGATAAGTAAAACTTTTATTCAAACTTCTTTTACGCATGAATTATAAAATTTATTCATTAATTTTTATACATGATAGCTTTTTAAAAATAAAAGCCTTGGTCCATAATTCCTTTTTTATGTGTAATAAAATGTAAAAAGAAAACCCACTAAAAATTTGACTACACAAAAATAAAAATACGAGGATT